TTATTTGTGGAGTTCTTTATATATCTTGGGCACAAGCTCTTTGTTGGTTTCTTTTACTCTACAGCTTGTCTTTTCATTCTCTTTATTGTGTCTTTTGATGATCAGAGGTTTCTAATTTTAATGTAGTCCAACATGTCAGTTTTATCTCTTACAGAACATCTCAATTCTGACTAGCCACATTTCGGGTATTCAATAGTCACTTACACGGTGACAATATTGGACAGAACAGCTTTAAAGTTTTATTGTTTTTCTCATATCGATCTACAATGCACATAGAATTTATTTTGCGATATGGTGTGAAGTTGGAGTCAAGTTTCATTTTTTCCTATACGATATACAGCTGACTCAGCACCATTTATTGAAAGCGTTATCCTTTCCTCACTCCTCTCATACCTCTCCGTCATAAAGCAGGTGTCTATATATGAGTGGTTTTCTGGTTTTGGTTTCTCTGTTCTGTTTCATTGGTTTGCCTTTTTCTGCATCAATATCACATTGCCTTTGTAGCTGTAGCTTTATTAGTCTGAACCCAGCAGCATTTTGCTTGCAGATCTCTTGCAGAAAGTAGTTAAGATCTTTGGCACTAAAGACAGGGCAAGATAAGGAGCCTGGCTTTAAATCCTGACCTCACCACTCTCTACATATGTAATCTCAGCAAGTTAACCTTTCCATAAGCCTCAGCTTGGTTGGTATAAGGATAAACGTGGGCTATTTATGTCATAGTGTTGTCGAGGCAGTTTCACAAATATAAAGTGGCACAGAGTAATGTCTGGCACAGAGTAAGCTCTCAAATATAGTTGAGCCCTGGCAGGTGTGGCTCAGCTGGCTGGAGTCACCCCACACAGCAGGCGGCGGTCCGGGCACAGACCCAGGTTGCCGGTGGGTCGCGGGTTTGATTCCCGGTCAGGGCCTGTGCTGAAGGCAACTCATTGATGTTCCTCCCATGGATCTTTCTCTCTCTCTCTTCCTCTCTCTAAAATCAATTTTAAAAAATGGAGCGGGCCGTGTGTAAATCTGAGTTACCTGTTTGCTTGTCTCTGTTTTAGGCAAGGAGCTCCAGAGGTAAGGGCCTGCTTTCCATTTATTATCCCTCCCACACCCACCCCTCAATTCCGATCTCGCTGCCTGGCGGGCAGGAGGGGGCTCAATAAATGCCTGTTGAATGCTCACTTCAGGTACTTACTCTGCGTTAACGCAGGCGAGGGAAGACCCCGGCAAGGACCGAGGAGCTTTGAGGTGGAAGAAGCAGCTGACCACCAGGGGGCGCAAGGATCCGTGCTCTCCAGATCTCGCGAGAGAACCCGCGTGCGCCCCGACTTCCCGCGGTATGTTTTCGGCTGAGCGAGCCGCGGGAACTAGAGCTGCTCTTGGGTTGAGCCTGCGGCACGCTTGTAGCGTGGGAGTCGCTTCCGGGTTGCGCGCCGGAAGCAGGAAGTTGTCGGCTTCTCATTCTCGCCGGGCAGCTGCTGTCCGCGAGGCGGGAGGAGGCCGAGGGGCGCGGGCCCCGCATGTGAGTGACTGGGGCCCGAGGCCGGGAGGGGGAGGTCGCTCCGTGACAGTGTCGCCGCCCTGCTCGACTGTGACATCCTCGCGCAGCCTCTCCCCTGCCGCTACAGCCACCTCTTCTTGCCTCTCCGCTGACCCCTTTTTTGAGCCTCTGGAGTTTTGCAGACTGAAAGCGCCGCAGGCAGCTCCCCCAGGCTCGACTCCCTTAAGACATGTCCGCTACTTCCCTTGGTTTTCCCGGGGAGAGCAGGCGGGGTCGCCCCGGCTTGAACTTGTTTCCCAGGCGTCATCGCTGTGTCCAGAACATGAGGGGTGCTAGCGAAGTTTAGGTGTCACTGCCCTTTGACAGGTGGCGAATTTTTCTGTATATCGAGGTTGGCTCCTCAGCCCCCCTCTGAAACGTCTTTCTAGTTGTTAAAGAGGAAAATTTTTTTTTGGTAGGTGATAAACATGGCATCTCGGATTTCAGGAAGAAATGTAACTTGGTTCATTGGCCTGAAAAAATGAGCTGTTTGTAATTGCCTTTCGTCTAGAGAAATTCGCCTCCTTCGTGTTCCGTAGTATTTGAAGGCCGGCAACCCTACAAGCCGCACTTTTTCTGGAATACCACGTAGCGTTCGTATTCGCGAATATGTATCTTCCGTCTTCACCTTAGAGTAGAGACTACTCTGAGGTATTATTATGACTTTATCTGGTTGCTCATTTGGTTGTCCCCATGGTGAAATCTTCCATGACCATCTCTCCCTTAGTGAATTTGAGTTTGAGTTATCACAATTTCCCTCTAAGGAACAACATGCCTTAACCTAAATTCAACTTTAAAATTGCCGGGGCTATAATATCAAATATAAAGTATTATTTTTCCTCCCATCTTCTAAGTTCTCCTAGCTGAGCTAATAATCAGATAAACAGGAGAAAGTAAAAACTTCAATATGTGTGCACAGGGAATTCACACAAGCATGAAACTCCCAAAGACAGTGAGGCACAATTGGTGTATTTCTGGACAAAGGAGGGGGAGAGGAATCTTAGATTTCAAAAGTAAGAATGAGTGATTTGCAGGTAATTGAGGGAAGAGGGCAACGTAAGTGGCAGGTAAATTTTTGCCAAAACAACCCAGAAAATGATGGAGTCTTCCTGAAGCAAGTTTTCCCACCTGAATCTCTTAGGGCAGAAAAGCCTGGGAGGATCAGAGGTGCTTTGAAGTCTTTTCTTGATAACCAACTTAAAATATTCCAAAAGGCAGCTTTAGGGTGGCAAAACTTGGTCTCCTTCACTACATGGAAGCTTTCACGAAAGTTCTCTTAGTCCAACTTGCTTAGCCAGAGGCCCTGTTTGCCCCTTTCTGCTTTGGACCAAAACAGTGTTCAAGACCCAGTTTGAATCCCTGTTCCTCCACAGCTACTTTATAGCACCTGCACACGGAAACCTTCACTACACTAATGTGCTGTGTGTGTTTTTTTAAAGAATAGTTTATTGATTTTTTAGAGAGGAAGGGTGAAGAGAGAAACATCGATGTGAGACTGCAGCATCGGTGGCTGCCTCCTGCAAGCCCCCTACTGGGAATCGAACCAGCAATATTTTGGTGCACAGGACAACACCCAGCCAACTGAGCCACACCAGCCAGGGCTAATGTATTTATTTATTTTTTAAGTAGAAGAATAAGTAAAATGCATAAACCATTAGTTACATTAAATTAGTTTGGGAACAGAATGATCACTTTAGGTCCTTTCTATAAATTTCTTCCACAGACACTGATGAGGGTCCACATCTCTTAGTTGAATTTGCATGTCTGTTGTTAGTTTCTTGTGTTGTTACTGTCTCTATTTATCTCTGCCTTCAGAAAACAATTTAATGTGAGAGGAAGACAAGAAAATAGATGTAATACAAAGTGATAGAGTTGTGTTTAAGGTTTAAAGTTTAGAAGGTTTAAAAATCAGGGTTGGAAGAGAGTTTGATCATTAGAGGAAGCACTGGGGGCTAGGCTTTGTAGGCAGAGGGCATCCTGTGTACAGAAGCAAGAAGATTTGCAACGTGATGTCAGTGAAGAATGTGAGGAGGGAATGGGAAATGAGACTAAACAGGGAGGCAGTGACCAGATCATAAAGGGCCATGCTAAGTAACTGGGACTTCTTCTTATAACAGTATTTAATTTGGATATTGGGACAGATGTTTTACATCCATCATTTTTTAATCCCTTAACAACATTGTTGGATAGACAAGCTTATCCCCATTTTATAAATGAAAACTCTGGGGCTTAGAGAGGTTAAATGTTGTCTCCTGGCCACACAGTACATGGAGCATCTAGTATTTCATTCAGCTTTTTCCAACTCCAGCGCCTGTATTCTTAACCACTGTGCTGAACTGTTCCCTACAGGGCATGGGGGAATCTAGGAAGGAGCTTTAAATAGATGAGTAATGTGAGCCAGTTTTGTTTCAGCTAACAAAACTTTTGGGGAGGGTCAAGGATGGATCAGTAAAGAGGTGAGCCAAAAATGTAGAGATTAAATACATCTTTGTGATGGTCCGTGGGAGAGATGTTTCGGGCCTTAACTGCCATTAGTGTAGACCTACAGAGGAGGTGACGAATGTGAGGACTATGCAGGAGGCGGGGTTGAGGATCTGGTGATTGGTTCATTGGTGGGGATGAGAAAGGAGGAGGAGGTTTTAAATGTGGAGACCTGGTGTTTCCATTAATTAAGAAAAGGAATGTAGTAGGAGAAATCAGTTGCAGGGGAAAAATAATAAGTCAGTTATGGACACTTTACATGTAGGGGGCTATAGGAAATTTGGGTCTTGAGTTTGGGAGAGAGTTCTAGGCTGGAGAAGAGATTTGGGACTCACTAATAGCTGGCTGTTAAAGCCATGGAGGGAATGAGAAGGTCAAGGACAACTGCGATGAGCAGCAGCATTCAGGGACGTAGACTCTGGGAAGAGAACCAGAGAATTATGCCAAGGTTTAAGAGCACTCGATGGAGAGATAACGGGTAGCCAACGCAGCTGCTGCGGAGAGGTCAGGTAAGTTGATAACTGAAAAAACGTCCTTTGGACTTGGCATGTAGAAAGCCATTGGTGACCTTAGTGAAAGCGGTACCAGTGGCATGATGGGGGACAGAAATATGATTTCAACAGGTTAATAAGTGAATGGAGACCTGAGAAATAGAAAGATGAAGTGATGGCGTTTTTTTAAAGAAATTATTTATTTATTTTAGGAGCATGCATTGGAATCTAGAGAGGAAGGATTATTATCTCTTAAATAGTAGAAGCTGGAAAAAGTGAGGATAGAACGCAGGTAGAGATAAGTTTAAAAATATGGGGACTCCTGCTTTAAATATGTCAATGTCATAAAAGAAAGAAAAAAAGCCAGAATCTGTTCTAGGTTTAAGCAGATCAAAGAGACACAGCAGCAAACTGATGTGTGACACATTGGTTGGCTCCAAGATTTCTAAAAGGCAGTGTGGCTTCTTGGGAGGGGGTGCAGTTAGGGAAATTTGACTATAGACTGGATTAGGTAATATTAGAGAGTTATTAATTTTAATAGATATGGTAATGATGCCTAATGCTCTATATAATAATGTCCTTATTTTTAGGACATGCGTGCTGAAACATTTAGAAGTGATCTTGTGATGTGTCGCAACTGACTTTCAAATGTTCTGGTAAAAACAGAAACAGACAGAAAGCAAATACGGCCAAGTGTTAACAATCTGTGGATCTCAGGATGTACAGATGTTCATTGTAGTCATTCACTTTCTGGAGGCTTGAAACATTCAGCGTAAAAAGTTGGGAGAAGAATTTTGGAGGAGGCATAGTCTCGGAGAGTGAAGCCAGTACCAGACTCTGCGAATCTCATTGGACAGAGGTGGCCAGAGAGGGACCCTTAGATTCAAGCGATAAGAATGTGAAAAAGTAGATTCCTTCAGTTGTAAATGCTAAGTACTTATTGCAGTTTTAAATTGCTACTCTTTTAAGTTATGTTTTATCAATTATTTTTTCTTTAAATATGTTTGTTCTTTCTGAGTGGTTTTTGTTACAATCCAAAGATGACATTTTCCCCCTGTAGCATAACATATCTTTAACCGACGTGAATCACTGGACAAAATATAATGGAATATATTCATAACACCAAAGAATGGATTAGTATACTACATAGCTAGCATAATAGTAAAGAACCTAGTAGGGAAAAAACGAAGTTTAATATTACTTTGGATATTGCTCCCATTGTTGAAGATTGGGACATATTTAGATGGGCTTTTGAAATTTTATTTCTCAACTATAGCATTTCCCCTTTTGTGTGTTAACTGGATGAATCAGTATTGCCTCTTAGGATTGCCTACCTGGCTTATCTGTTTAGTTTGGCAAGTGACAACCTCCAGGCTGATGCCACGTCAGTATTTAGGATATAGTTGTATCATTAGAGGAATTAATTCTATATTAAACAGGGCAAGTCTGACATCTTAACTTTTCTGTTTTAAACAAACAGATTTATTGGTAAGTTCCATCAGAGTCATTCTGTTATGCCTCTGTCCTGTTTTTTCCTAGACTGAGACCCAGAAGGAATTGTGGAGAACCTTTCACCAGAGCTGTCAGTTTCTTCCTCCTATTCTTGGAGTTCTCCTTCAGAAGTGGACAGCCCTTGGCTAACCTCCCCCAGGCTTCTCTTGAAAGCAGGATTTCGCAACCTCAGCACTCTTTTAACATTGCTTGAGCAGGGCAATTCCTTGTTGTGGGGTCTGTCCTGTGCATTGTAGGATGTTTAGTCTATACCCACTAGATGCTAGTAGTATCCCCTCAGTTTTGACAATGAAAAATATCCTCAGATATCACCAAATGTGCCCTGAGGAGCAGAATCAACCCTAGTTGAGAGCTATTTTAAAGCAGTGTCTTCTAGTTGAGGGTGTGCTTCTGGTCAGCAGGGAAGAGGTTTGAAAACTTCTGCTCCTGGGACCCTGTCTCAGAGGTTCTGACAATTCAGCATATCCATGGTGTGCATGCATGATACTTTGATTTTTGTAATGCTGCTAGTGATCCTGCCTGTGTCCTTGCAGGTATAAGGCATTGTTAAGAGTCAAAGTCACTCTTTGGAACTTCCCTCTGCGGCAAAGCTCGTTTCTGCCAGAGTCGGACCTTCTTTCTGGAGGTAAAGGGATTGCCGTCAGGCTACAGCTGATTTCACTCAGTTCCCTCATACTTGATGCTTAGCCATGACTTTGTGTTTGATTTTTTTTGAAGGGATATGATTTTATTTTTGTACAAACCCTTGTGTCTGAAGGCTGACTTTCACTAGATCGCAGGGAGGGGGCTGCTCTGGTGGTATGAAACCCTGACCTAAAGGGACAAGATTTTTGTTATTTAACATCGTATCCACTAGATGCCAGTAGTACCCCTCAAGTGTGACAATCAAAAATGCCTCCAGACTTTCCAAAAGTTCCCCTGGGAGCAGAATTGCACCTAGTTGAGACACTGACCCAACGGAAGGCAATAGGAAGACTTACTATATCAAGATCCCCAAGTCTCTTAGACATTCCACTAAATTGCGAGTAACTACCATTCCAGTAACTCGGGAACTGCTAGAATATCAGGGAAGAAGGATGTACAGCTGGCAGAAGTATTTTCAGGATCTTAATATCATTGTATACTTGATTTAAACAAAAAGAAACTGTTGCTTTTGCAATTTAAACTGGGAGTTTAATGGTACTTTTATGGGTATCAAAAGTGGGCAGAGGTTTACAAAAGTTGTAAAACAGTCATCAAAAATGATGATAGTTGGTCCTGCCTTCAGCCTCACCGCACTCTGTCCCCTTCATGGTTCTCCTAAGGGTACACCAATATGATGCTCTCTTATGCCTGGGGGATGCCTACATGTGCCCCACCTCCCAACACTTTAAAAAGTTTTACTGGATTTTTTTCTGTAATTCCCTCTGCTCTCTTTTCTGGTCCTCTTCTGGGCTTTAATGGATTTCGACTAGGTACTGTTGAATAATTTATTGTAGTGTGCTTAAATGAACATTCTTGCTTGCTTGCTTGCTTGCTTAGAATATCTGTGTTAATTAAATAGGAAAAAATCTATCTCTGGGATCACTAGTCACTAAACCAAGATGTGAAAAATACTATAATACATTATTGCTCTATTTTTCCAGGAATCATTGTAGTTGATCACTTTCCAGTTCTCAGCCACTCAGTTGTGATAATCAAGGGACACGGTGTTGTGGTTTTGGAGCTGCCAGGTCAGAATAGGAGAATACTTGCTAAGGGAGGCAGCATGTATAAAGGTTAAAAGCACCAATCCTGAGGTCACACTTGGGTTCACATCCTGGCAAGTAATGAAACCTCTCGGAGCCTTAGTTTCAACATCTGTGAGATGGGATTAATCACACCTTGCTTATGAGATTGCTATGATGAGTCACTGAGATAATGTTCCTAGAGTGCTTAGCACAGTGCCTGGCACATAGGGTGGCAAAACTGGAAATGGTAATACACGAATGCAATTGGACATAAATCTTTAGTTTCTGATGAATTGAATTTGTCCTACTTCCTGAAGTGTTCATACACTCTTAAAATTTTATAGCTAGAGGAAACTTTAAAAACCTTCTGGTTCAACCCTCTTCTTTTTTGGTTGAGGAAATAAGCCAAATAACTTAGCAGACTCATGACAATGTAGTATAATAAATGCCAAAACGGGTAAGTTCAAATTCTAGAAATATAAATTTTAAAAACATCTTTATTGAGGTGTAATTTATATACCGTAAAATTCACCTACTTAAAATGCACAATTTATTGGTTTTCAGTATATCACAAAGTTGTGCAACCATTACAACAATTTAAGTTTAGAACATTTCTATCACTCTAGAAAGAAACCCTGTATCTGCTAACAGTCATTTCCCATTCCTCCCACCCCCTCTTCTAGACAACCACTAATTAACCTATTTTTTGTCTCTATAGATTTGCTTATTTTTCACTTTTCATATAAATACAGTCATATAATATGTGGTCTTTTATGATGGCTTCTTTCACTTAACATAATGTCAAGATTTATCTATGCTGTAGCATGTGTCAGGACTTCACTCCTTTTTACTATTCAACACTGTTTCATTGTGTGGATATACCACACTTTATCCATTCATTCAGCAGTTCATAGACATTTGGATTGCTTCCATTTTTTTATCTGCTTGAACATTCATGTGTAAGTTTTTGTGTGAATATATTTTAAATCCTCTTGGGGTCATATTTAAAAGTGAAATTGCTGAGTCATTTGGTAACTCTGTATTTAAATTTTTGAGGAGCTGCCAAACTGTTCTTGAGAGCATCTGGACCATTTTACATTCCCAGCTGTATATAAGGGTTCCAGTTGCTCAACATCTTTGCCAACACTTGTTATTATCTGACTTTTTAATGTAGTCATCCCAATAGATGGGGACTGGTATCTTATTGTGGTTTTGGTTTGTATTTCCCTGATGGCTAATGATGCTGAACGTCTTTCATGAGTTTATTGACCATTTTTATATCTTTGGAGAAATGGCTGTTCAAATCCTTTGTTCATTTTCTAATTGGGTTATTTGTCTTTTTATTGTAAGAATTCTTTATGTACCTGAATATAGTCCTTTATCAGATAAATGATTTGCAAATGTTTTTCCCCATTCTGTGGGTTGTTGTTTCACTTTTTTGATAGTATCATTTGCGGCACAAAAATTGTTAATTTTTTTTTTTTAATATGTCTTCATTGATTTCAGAGAGAGGAAGGGAGAGGGAGAGAGAGAGATAGAAACATCAATGATGAGTCATTGATCAGCTGCCTCCTGCACAACCCCCACTGGAGATTGAGCCCACAGCCTGGGCACGTGCCCTGACGGAGAATCAAACTGCAATCTCCTGGATCATAGGTCAATACTCAACTGCTGAGCCACACTAGCCACGCAAAAAAATTGTTAATTTTGACATAGTCAATTTATCTTTCTTTTGCTGCTCGTGCTTTTGATGCCATATCTAAGAAACCATTATTTAATCCAGTGTCAAGAATATTTTCCTCTGTTTTCTTCTAAGGATATTATAGTTAAATTTAGGCCTTTGATCCATTTTGAGTAAATTTTTGTGTAAGGTAGAAGGAAGGGTCCAACTTTATTCTTTTGCATGTTGATATCCAGTTGTTCCAGCACCGTTTGTTGAAAATACACATTTTTAAAAATATATATGTTTTTGTTGATTTTAGAGAGAGAGGGGGGGAGAGAGAGAGAGAAACATCAGTGCGAAAGAGAAGCATTTATCAGTTGCCTTCCATATGCACTTGGACCAGGGACTGAACCCCCAACCTGAGCATGTGCCATGACTGGGAATCGAACCAACGACCTTTCAGTGCACAAATGACACTCAACCTCCAGGGCAAAAATACACATTTTTAAATTGAGTTTACACCATGCTTTTATCTAAACCTTGAAATTGTGGTCTATATGGCCTTAAAAAAACACACTTTGAGCAAGAGCAGAGAGTTTGGGGAAAGAATGTATGCCCTTTAGTATGTGGGGTTCCTCCTTCCCTCTCCTAGTTCCTCAAAGTCTAGATGACTTGGCATTAGACGTCTGAGTCTGATTTAATTGATCTGGATTGGGGCCCTGGTACAAACATTCATTAAAAGCTCTCTAGGTGACTCTGATGTGCAGGCCTGTGTCAGACTAGTGAGCTAGTTTTATAGCCACAAAAGGAACCAAACAGGAGTCATTAGGAGGTGCTTCTGAAAGAGAGATATACTGAGATGCTTTGGCTTGTGGCATTTCAGGCCTCCTTGTCTCTGCTGGACCTATATGACTGTTGTCCTCTGCTCTACAGGTGGCTTCACCTTGTTACTGAACAATAGAGTTGTACCCTGTCAGTGGCTTTTGGGATTAGAAGCACTTTGGAGATGGAGTATGTGAAATAAGAGGACGTTCTGCAAAAGGTCCTTTTTTCAAAAAAAAAAGAAAGAACATCAATCCCAAGCACTGGTTTTCCTTTTATAAATGAAGAAAAAAGTATTAATGTTCTGTAACAAAAGCACTTTTTTAAAAGAACAAATTTTTTGTTGTTGTTAATCCTCACCTGAGGATATTTTTTCCATTGCTTTGCTTTTCAGAGAGAGTGGGGGAGGGGGCCTTCGATGTGAGAGAGACATGAACTGGTTGAATCCCTCACGCCTCCCCCCATCGAAGGTGGGGAGAAAACCCTCGATCCTCTGTGCTTGGCCTAATGCTCTAACCACTAAGCCACACCAGTCAGAGCTGAAAGAACTAATTTTATTTTACAAATGATACAGAGAGAATTCTACTTGCCATTTTACCTTTGATTCTATCAATAGCCACCGTGAAACAATTTGTCTTTAAAATAACTATGAGAACAAATTGGATCTTGAAATTAGTTATAGATCTTAGGTCTTTTAAGTATGTAAAATACAAATGAAATGGCCTTCATTGTCTAACATTGTATTTGCTGAAAGGCATGAGAACTGCAGCCTGCAAGGTCTGAAGAGCTCCCATGCCATGGTTTTTGTGTTGCCTAAAATCCTTGCTCTGCCAGGAACAAAGCGAGTCAGCATGTTCTTGTCAGTAAATCTTGCCTTCAGTGATCCGTTCTTCATCTTGTGTTTCTAAAAGGTCTGATAAGGAGAACATTTTGAGAGGGTTAGTGGCAGGCCAGCCAAAGAGTGAAAGCCCAGCGGGCATGGCTCAGCAGCTGAGCTTCGGCCTAGGATCCAGGCGATCAGGGTTCCATTCCTGGTCAGGGCACATGCTCGGGTTGTGGGCTCGATCCCCTCGATCCCCAGTCGGGGGCGTGCAGGAGGCAGCCGATCAATGAGTCTTATCATTGATGTTTCTATCTGTCTCTCCCTCTCCTTTCCTCTCTCTGAAATCAATAAAGATATATTTAAAAAAAAAAAGAGTGAAAGAGACAGAATTGTTAGTCTGTTTTTGCCTGAGGGCCAGCTAACAAAAGACCATCCATATTACTTCCGTTGCCTATTGGAACTTCAGAGTAGTTTCTAGGTGGCTGCACCTATTATTTTTACCAGGCAACCCTGACAGTCCAGGAGCCTCTTCTTTATGTGGACTCTGCCACTATCCCAGAGCTGGCCCGCTTCACCCTCTCCCACCCCTCTCTCCATAGTTAATGTAAATTTCTGTCAGACCACCTCTGTCTTCTTCCTTTCCCCTGCTTGATGGATGAAAACAAATGCTTGCAAAACTCTAGGACAGTGGGCGTGTTGTCCCTTCTACCTCACCTTGCTGCTGGGAGTTTAAATGCCATGCCCCAAGACCGTCTTTTTGGCTGGCATTTTTGTCTCAATAAAACTTACTTCCAAAAAGACTTTTAGCCTTGCAAGTTAAATATTTTTGTTTCACAGGTCTGACTGGTATAAATGGAAAGAGATAATTGACCAACAACATTCTCCATATTCCATTTCTTTTTATTTTAGTAAATTACCAGTAGCAGATCTTTGGTGATAGGTTTCAGAAATCATTTTGGATGGCACTGGTGTTCAAAGTCCCATGAGGAATTTATTGTGCTCTAGACCAGTGCCCCTCAAAGTGTTTGGGACCTTGTGCTTGACTGTAAACTGTTTGTTACTAACCTACACTGGCCACACTTGAAAACTTTGTGTAACAGCTTGACATTGTCTCACATAATCATTGTGTTTTACAAAAGTATTGCCCTGCAGTGGATGGGGGAAAGCACAAAACTGGTTCTTCCCCACAGACGGCCAAGAAGCACTGTTCTAAAGCAACTAGCTTTGAGGAGGGAGAACTTTAAAGAAACCGTCTTTCTTTTTACATTTCTTTCTCTCAGGGATTTTGCATTGGAAGACATGGATCTAGCTGCCAATGAGATCAGCATTTATGACAAACTTGCAGAGACTGTTGATTTGGTGAGACAGACGGGCCATCAGTGTGGCATGTCAGAGAAGGCAATTGAAAAATTTATCAGACAGCTCCTGGAAAAGAATGAACCCCAGAGGGGGCCACCCCAGTATCCTCTCCTTCTAGTTCTGTATAAGGTAAAAATGTCTTCTGACCTGGCAAAACTTAGACGGAGCACAAATTCTTCAGCTTGCCCCCCAAATACTTCTATGACTGATTCCACCATTGAACCTTGGTTTTTCTATGAATAAGTTGGCCTGCAGTCTTGTTACCATGTGTTCCTAGGAAATTTGACTATTTTGTTAACTGTCCTAGGTAAAAGCTGTGTATTTATATTTAAACTGTATTTGTGTGTTTTTTTAATGGTGGACGTACCCACCCACGCACCCCCACCCACCCCTGGTATTGCAGTACTCATGGTTCTCAAACGTCAAATGCTTTCAGAAGTGAATATAAATGGCTTGTTGATGAAAATGGATTCGTTCCTAAAGCACATTGGAAATTGTAGACGAGGCCTGTTATTTTCTTGGCATTAAAGTATTTTGTTTGCTGGGACAATTACTAATTATTTTTCCGTCTTTCCTTGTAGGTCCTCGCAGCCCTGGGATTAATCTTGCTCACTGCCTACTTTGTGATTCAACCTTTCAGCCCATTACAGCCTGAACCAGTGCTTTCTGGAGCTCACACCTGGCGCTCACTCATCCATCACATCCGGCTGATGTCCTTGCCCATTACCAAGAAGTATATGCCAGAAAATAAGGGAGTTCCTCTGCATGGGGGTGATGAAGACAGATCCTTTCCAGGTAGATGCTGCATTTACTACTTGTGAGATACAGGCTTCTTGACAATATATGATGGGAAAGGAAATAACATTTATTGACATCTAATGAGATACTTTTCCTATGTTGTCTCATTTAATTCAACCCCCAGTAAAACTCTCTGGGATAGGTTTTATTTTCCCCATTTTGCAGATTGAGAAACTAAGGCTTAGAGAGGTTAAAAAACTTTCCCAAAAAACACATCTGATGGAGCCAAATTCAAACCCTAATTCCAAAACACATGTCATGTTTTTATTCATAGTAAGGATTTGAATGTATCTTTTCTACCTTTTTCTCTCCTGTGATCCCAATCCATAAGAGATATTTTAAGAAATAGCTATTGATTTATTGAAAGCATCACTTCAGCTTGCTTTTAACCAGGTCCTCTAACAGTCCTCAGCCTGTTGAGCTAGGTTTTTGTCTAAGTATCTCTCGCTCTTTCAATTGGGTCTTTTCTCTCTGTCTCACGGTGCACTTATTTAGTGCTACTAAGTACAGTTTTGCCAAATATTGAATTTAAGAAACATTTAAACTTGGTAACAGTGCATTAGTGGCAGCATAGGAATTCCTAGTCTAATAGACCGTTTGAGGAGTTTCCTTTGAGAATAGTGAAACGTGGTGAGACTTGCAATTTACTTTTTGAGAAAGACTAGGAGGATATTATTTGGGGATTTTTACTTTTTTTGGTGGTGTTAATTTTATTTGCCCATAGGAAGGAATGTGTAAATTAATATCACAAATGGATTATAGAACTTGTGTAACCATGTTCTGAAACCTTCAGAATGCAGCATAACTATTTAGGAAGTATGTTTTCTCTTCAGTATTGTCTTCAGAAAAAATTTATTAGTTGAATCTAAGCTTTATGATCATAATGCCAGTCCTTTTTTTTTTTTTTAATCCTCAGCCAAGGATATGTTTTTTTAATCGATTTGAGAGAGAGAGGAAGGGGAAAAGAGAGAGAGAGAGAGAAACATTGATCAGTTGCCTCCCATACACACCCCAAGCAGGGATCGAACCTGCAACCTGTATATGTGCCCTGACCTGGAATTGAACTCACAGCCCTTTGGTGCACACAACGACTCTCTGGCCAGCTGAGCCACACCGGCCAGGGCAATAATCATAATGCCAGCCTTTAAGCAAAGACCTAATCGGTCATAAAAATCATCACTCGGCTTAGATCTCCTTTGAAAACTTTTGTTACACACTTGAGAAAATCATGGAGAGATTTCCAAAATTATATCAAAATCAGAGGAAGAGAATGTCATAAATCAAAAACCCAGCCTCGTGTGCGTGTGTGTATGTGTTTGTGTGTATGTGTTTTAAATTAGCTCATATGCTTAGAGTTTTAAATTCCAAATATAACTTTCTATATTTTATTAGGAAGGTTGTTTTTGAAAAGTCATCAACAAAGCTAAAAAAAATGAAGTTTCTAACTCCTATCAGGAAGATCCAGAGAAACTCGTCCGTCAGGCCAGGCTGTACTGTTCCTCAGACACGCTGCTCCTTTGCTGTCTTCCCCTCACCGCCTCCTGAAAGGCATCCTCTGCTCGGTGGCATGAGATGAAGTCAGTGGTTTTTAGGACCAGAGTGATGGCAGTTTCTTTCTTTCTTTCTGTCCTGTAAAGTAAATCAACATAGACTGTTGAGTTAGGAAATAATAGTCAATGGACAGTGATTGCTCATTTTCTAAATTGGAGTTTAAAAATTCAAAAAAATTTTAGCGTCTTGTCAACAAGCCTGATTTTTTGGTCCGCTCCAAATAAATATTTTGCCCTGCAGATGGAAATAAAATGAGTCCTTGGAGCTCAGTTGTAAAAAGAGATCATTGGAAGGGTGTGGTTTTAGCTCTTAAATGTTGTTGATTCTGTTCAAGGGCTGCTTTTGCTTGTAATGTGGATATTGATGCACCATAGTTTCCTATGTGTGATGATCCTGGGAAGCTGTAGACATGTAAAGCTAACAGCGTTTGCATAGCATTTGGAAGAAAACTTAATGGTATGATGTAAGGGATACATAGAAATATATTGGGGAGAATTAATGTAAGCAGGATAGAAAAGTAAAAAAGTTAAATTGTCGTTCATAATGTCATGGTACCAAAAAATAATGGCCTTTCAGTTTGGATTACTTAGCAGTATCTTTAAAGCAAATGTAGAGGGAGGATGCTGTGGAAAGCCCAGGAGTGTATAGTTTCCTTAAGGGCTGGCCTGTCTAGCTCCCCCAGGGTCATCTGATGTCCCCTGTGGATGATGGAGGACAGCAGGAGCTGTGGGATGTACCAGAGGCACCACCAGCAGAGGTAGTAGGTTTCCTCCTGACCACTGGTAGTTTTTCCCTTTGACTCCACCCAGGGAACAGAAGGCATCAGAAATGAGGTTCTTTTTCTAGGTTTCAGCCTTGGGCAGGAAACCCTGTGCCTAAATCCTTTAAGCAGCAGGAAGTGACTCTGTAGTGAGCCATGTCAACATCCCTTGTTGCAGCAGGAAATAAACAAGCTGACACTTAGTGCCTACCAGATGCCAGACCCTGTTCAAAGGGCTTTCCATATATTAGCTCATGTTTACAATATCTCTATGAAGTAGGTTGTGGTTTTATGCCTATTTCGCAGATGAAGACCCAGAGGTACAGTGAGATTAGGTCACTTGCTCAATGTCCTAAGGCTGGTTAAGTAATGGAACCACAATTTGAATGCAGGCAGCCACCGTCAGAGTTTGAGCCCTTGCCCTCTGACATGAGGAGTTTGCAGCTACACAGTACCTGAGAGTAAGAGCTCAGTTTGATTTGGGAGCTCTACACTCTCCCCCCGCTCCCCACCCTCAGGTCACCAGATGCTTTCTTTCTCAGCTCCCTAGTCCCTGAAGAAGAGGTTCTTTCCCACCGGTACTAGCCAAAGATAAGCAGTCCTCCAAGCTATTGGTCCTTTAGAATTTTCCTGAACTAGTCTTGTCCTAGGCATTCAGCCCAGCTCATCATAGGTAGTGTGTGACTTATTGTTTGACCTAATCTTTTCACTTACCCACAGTTTTCCCTTCACATCCTTAGTGCCCTCCCCCCCTTATACCTTTATGTCCGCTTTGACCCTGCCAGCAGCCATCCTCTTGGCTTTCACCCTTCCATGGAATCACTGAGTCCTAGAGCTAAAAAGGGACTTTTTAGGAACCGACCTAGTACATCTTCCCATCTTATAGAGAACATTGAGGCCAGAAGTTACGTGCTTAACCAGCTAAAAGTGGCAAACTTAGCACTTGAACCATAGTTTCTTGACTCCACTGTAGCATTCTTTTCCTCACAGCACACTTACTGCCGCTGTCTCCGCCCAGCAACACCAGATTCCAGCATGTCAGACTCGGTTATTTTGTTTATTTTGTGCACTTACGATTTTTAACTATAGCTCCCATTTATACTGAGGAGGCCTGGGGTCGTTCTTACGTACAAGGAGAAGCAGCCTCTCTGTGTCTGTGCCACACGGCTGGAACTCTGCATCCAGGGACTCGCAAGGGAAACTTGAAACATCCAGGAGCACAGGAATAGCAGATCCTGCATTGACTTAGAACTGAGACCTAATCACACTTGGAGCCCAGGCCGGTGCCCATAGATGAAATGCTTGGGCCTCAGGCAATGCCTTACTCTTTTATTTTCAAATAAAAGAATGTGGCATTTCTTGAGGTGATGCCACTCTGTCGAGCATTACTGTATGTCAGGCACTGTGCCGTGTATTTTCTGTCTTCACAACAGTCACATAGGGTAGTTATCATTTCTATGTTTGTTTCAGCGATGAGGAAACTGATGTGCCAATGGGATTGAGTAACTCACTTAAAGTCTCACATGTAGAGACATTTTTATACAAGGAGAATTCATGAAAGTAGATGAGCTCTGTGGTTTAGAATGGCTCACATGTGTTGCTTTCGGAAGGCAAGGCTATCGGCAAGATGATTTCTTGGGTTCCTTCCATCCCTACCGTGATGAAAATGGCTCTGGGTGTGCTGCCCCTCATGCAAGGGACCTGGCCAAGGGCGCCTCCACCACCAGGACTTCATCCCCGCCTCATGCCCAGGATTCTAGAAGAGGTGCTAAGGAAAACAAGCTGCTGGAGAGGAGCCTAATTAAATACTGAGCACACCCAGTGAAAGTCACAGAAACTTTGTCGTGGGCTTTGCAGGCTTTTCTTGGCTACATTTGTAATATAAGAAATCTAGAAGTTATATTTATTTAATCTTTATTTTGAGGTTTTTTCAAATTCAGACTGCTCATTTGATTTTTCTCCCCATGGACTTAATCCTATTGTGAAAGCTTCTGAGAAGTCATGGTTTCATTCATTCATTCATTCATTCATTCATTCATTCAATGAATGTGTATTGAGATCCCACTGTGTGCCAGGCACTGTTCTCAGCAGAGCATGAACAAAACAGACAGTCCCCCTGCTCTTGTAGAGCTAGTCTTGGCTCTGTGCCTGTCTTCCCTGTCCTTTTTACCCAGAGAGAGTTTTTGTCCTGGAAAGAAATCTTTTTTTTTTTTCCTTCCACTTTTCTCCAGGTTAATAATCAGTGTAAAAGGACTCTCTCTGCTCAGAATTCCAGGGCATGTTATGGTTGCCCATGTTATGGTTGCCAGCCTAAGTGCATTTATTTTATAAACAGCTCTCAGGCACTAGGAAACCTGACCGGCCTTGGCCACTACTTTTCTGCAGATTGCCCAACTTGCAGAGAAGGCTGGGAGGTTACTGTTTCTGCCTCTCTTAACTTTTAGGCCATATTTTATCTCAGAGACTGTTTTGATATGTTAGACTGAAATGATTCCAACTCATGGTGTGAATTTGGAATACAGGTCATGTGTTTTATTGAACTCTTATGTGGACACTTCACTCATCTTTCAACCTTTTTTAAAAATATAAAATAGTATATGGAGGATGTATCTGGAGTAAAGAAGCCTTGGAAAGTAAAAGGCAGTTGCTATCCAGCTTCCACTGGCCTTGAAGAGCGGGTAGAAAC